TGCCGCACTTGCTGTTGCATGTTTCATACAACTGCTTCAGCAAATCGTAGAATGATTCTGTGAGATACACAACTGTGGACAGATGCTTACCAGCATGCTTTTCGGTAAACGTACCGCAGATGTCACGACATAGTGGTTTGATATATGAACCGCAGGGGTGAGCTGGATCGTTTGTTCTTTTATACTTGCAGTTCACCAGAGAGTAAAGATCACCGACGAGATGCGGCGTATCTTTAGTGTGCCCGTGGTTGCTGCTACTGAACATGGAAGTCAACTCCAGATCAGTGTCTGGATTTCTGAAGTTTGCTTTTTGGACGGCATCTCTATAAGCTGCTTCCCTGTGTTTGTTACGTTGCACATGGTTGCTACCCTTGCCATCCCAGTCAGCAAGCAAGCTGTAGTAGAAACCGAACATGTCACCGAGCGTTTTAGGTGCGCTTGGTAGGACACATCTCAGTTGACTGAGAAGCGCAGTGAGCGGTGATTTGTTACCACAGAAATCACGAAGCATATTTCTTAGATAATTACCAGTTTGTCTATGCGACGCTATTTGACTGATATCTGCAAAGCCCATCGGCGTTTTGCACGGCACGTTAAAATGGTTTTTGACTGCGCAGTTGAGTTTGCCGGACTTGCCATCTAGGCTGTGCGGTAGGAAGCCCTGTAACCCATCTTCCAGGAACGACTCGAGAGGGGATTTTAGGCCACAGCTAGGATGTTGCTTACATGGTTGGTCACCCAGTTGGTCAGCTGTTTGGTTGGCACGTTGGTTACCACATTGGTTATGCGTCTGGTCGCCAGTTTGGTTACCACACTGTAAGCTGTTGCATTTCCAACTGGAACCACCTACACCGCTGCCGTACCAACACTCTTTCCATCCACTCAACGTAGTATCGTGCGTACACATTTGGTACAGGAAATACAGTTGTTCGTAAATACGTTGGAGGATTTCATACAACATACATATTAATGTGTTCATGTTGGAAGGGTATACGAAGCCCTGCGCGTTAATGTTAAATTCACACGCATATACTCCACCCGAGTGGCCGTTGCCGAGGATTGCAACCAGCGTCTCATAGGAATAATGGCACACTTCTGCAAGCGTACCTGACAGGCCCGTAGCCGTGATCTTCTTTGGGTAGGCGTCCAAAGCGTCGTCATCTTGCTGCAGCAGAATGGGATCGTCTGCCTGTGTTTCGGAGGCCTTGTTCTTCGGCTTCTCAAATAGGCCACTAAAACCGTTGAGTGCCAATTCGTCATAGACACGATTATGAGTGAGACCGCTAAGCCATGTGAGCATATCGTAAATGGACGAGGGATGCTTGTTGGACGATATTGTGGAATGATGGCAAACGTCGTAGTATGTGTTGAGATAATCGAACAATTGGGACACTGGGCCAGTGGGATCTTTAAATGTATCTAAGTATTCATCTAATGTTTTTAGTTTAGGTTTAGGTTGCTGGAACTCTTTATGAGATGCGAACGCAGTGGTCAAGAAGCCTCCCACTTCTGCACCCCTCTTGTCCTTATTGAGATGGGCAACATCGTAGCCTTGACGCTCGAAGAAATTTCTCAACTCTTCGTAATCCTTTTTTCCTTGGATGGTTTGAGTTGACCAGTCGGCGTAGCAGTGATAGAACAGGGAATAAAGTTGGTTGTAGAAGATGTCCAGAATGGTGAGACACACTTTGGCGCAGTTTCTTCCCTCGTCGGTCAATTCGGATTTTACAGTTTTTTCGGGGTCAGTGGTCTTTTCAATGACCAACTTATCATCGAATGTAACACCGTCGTACGTGTTAACGTAAGCTTTATTAAGCTCGGTGCCCAGCCTGTTAAGACCAGCATTAAGCGCATCCAGCAGAGGACTGCACGTACCGGCAAATTGTTTAGGCGCAAAGTTAGGTAATACATTATTGAAATTATCTATGTTCGTATTGAAAGTGTGGTCGAAGTGTTGTGAGTTATAAAGGGCTGTCAGCAGAGTCTGCATAGACATTCTTGAAGCTTCCACTACTGGACGTGACTTTTTAAAGTCTTCGTCCCGTTCGGCTTCAGAAAAAAAGTGGTTGAAACAATGAGTGAATTTGTTGGCCAATTTGGCGAAATTATTCTTGTCGTTTGGCGATGTAACGGAAGAAGCATCAAATGATGTTGCCAGCGTCTTAAGCGGGGCAGTGATACAGTTGTCGAATCGCTCCATAAAGCCTTTCAGGCCGACGTGTTTGTCGTCGTCGATTTTTGCGGGCAACCCTCTTAGTTCTTCACCGACTTTCTCAGCGAACTTTGTTAACAGATCCTTTATTGCGTCGACATACTGCTTCCGGGCGTGCGCTGTGAGATCGGTGCCGGCGTTCTGTATGAGTTTGTCGACGTCTTCCTTGAGTGCCTTGGCGAAGTGTTTCTCTGCCTGTTCGGCTTCTTTTTGGAGGAACTCTCGAGCCTTTTTAATTGGGCCAGTCAACAGGGATGCCTGCAGCTGGCTGAGATCATCCTTGATTTTTCGAAGCGTATAAGCTACGTTAGGCGTTTCCTTAGAAATCTTCTTTGCCAAATCGCCTAACCGTTCCCTCACATCTGCACCCTTATCGGCGAATGCATTCAGAAGCTCTTTGAGTTGAGCGGTAATTTGGGTAGAAAATTCTGTAAGCTTCTGTACCGTGTCACGGCCATCTAATTCAGATGCTTGCTTAGTGATGGTGTTAATCGCCTGGTCGACGTTTTTAGCGTGGTTTTCCACCGTGCCGGATGACCTGACGCCATCAGGTTGGAAGCCAGTCGCCGTGTCAAGCTTACTGCTCAGGCCATCAACGTTGTTTTTAACGGCGTCCAATTGAGCGTGGACGCCTGTACTTTTGGTTAAGCCTACACCAGTGACAAGCTCACTAACCTTTTTCTTGACATCTGCTTCGAATTTCTCGAGCAACGTTTCAAGATGAGATTTCTGGTTGGGGGTGGGGAGTTGGTAATGACCGTATTGTTGACTTCGATTCAAACCACTGGGGTAGCTGCGTTGCGGCAAAGGTTGCCCATATGTGCCATATTGGAGAGACTGCTTCTGCGCCTCTATTGTATTACCAAGTTGCTGAGAAATAAGCTGAAGTTGAGAGACAGAATTCGGAATCTGCTGTTGAAGCAATTGTTGTGAATTTCTGGACAACGACGAATTCAGTGCACTTAATGTACTGGAACCCTGTCCCTTTTGAATGCACTGCACTAGATCAGTTTGTACCTGTTCGACATAGCGTGTCCACTGATTAAACTGCTCATTCCACCGATTATTGCCAGCGCATGTTGCAACCTTCCTCAGCTCCTCCAGTTGCTTTTCAAAATTGTTTAAAAATTGTTGAACCTCCCATGCCTGTTTAGCAGTAAGCTGAATTGCCTGAGTTCTCAACGGTGACAACTGCTGACTAATGTGCCCTATCCAAGTTTCGTTGGCGGCATTAATGGCTTTCAGAGCCTCATAATGTAAAGGCTCAAACTGCGATTTGTAAGTCTCAGTATTCTGAGGGGAATTGCTTTTCAAATTTTGAATCCTGCTTTTGAAACCACTCAAATTAGTTCCATGTCCATTCCTTCCATGCTTAACACTCTCCGGCATGCTCTCCAACTGCCTCTCAATCCTTTCCACCAGCTCCGCCGCCTGCGCGTCGATGAACTCTTTGGTGAGTTCAAGGGCTTTGGAGTTGAGAGTATTAAGGGGGGAGACAATTTTGGTACTATACGTGCCACCGGAACCAACGATTCCATGGAGACCATTTCCTCCATCCGTTCCCTTAATCTCTCCCACTTTCTGCTTAATCTCTTCAAAAATCTTATCAATACTTCCCGGCGCGTCCCTGCCTCTCTCCTGAAACTGCTTCCCCAGCTCCTTAACCTTCGCATTAAGCTCGTCAGCGTAATCTTTTACGTTACATATGTAATTCCCTATTTTACTCCTCCATTGTATCAACTGATTTGCAACTATGTCTTTTATCACCTCCTGATTTCCGCGTCCAATATTATCCTTCTCAACAATTTCGGTTACCTTTTCGTCCGCTGCCGTAATAACGTTGTGCACCTGCTCAATCCACTTATGCAGAGCCAGAGTGTATTGTTCCAGATCCTTACTTATTTTGTCCAAATCCTTCAAAATTTCACTCACTTTCCCCTTCAAATGCTCCACAAGCTCATGCACCTTTCCATCAATCTTCAAATTCACATCTTCTCCAAGCTTTTTCATCACCTCACTGATTTTTCCCGTCGTCTCCTTTAACACATTTTCCTCCCTCTCAGACAATTCCTCAAGGCGCTTACTCTCATGCTGCACCGCTTTCACGGCGTTCATCACGCTGTCCTGCAATTTGGGATTTAAGTCTTCAATTGACTCTTTTATTTTGTTTTTATTTGTCCTAATATCTAAAGCTTCACTAAACTCTTTTGCATTATTTTTGCAGTCCTCCAATTTTTTCTTAATGTTCTCTTCTCCCTGACGAACATCCTTGGAGCTATACGGCTCCACTGGTTTTGGAGGAATTGTTTTCTCAGCTTTTTTCTCTGGCAATATTTCACTTACTTGCTCTTTAAGTTCATTCATCTTCCGCTGAAAACTATGAATTTGTCCACTCACCTTTTTGTTCGACTCCCTCACACCCTCATTATACTTGTTCACCCCCTCCACCACTGCGCCAATCGCAGCATTAAAACCATCTTTGCCAGAGTGTTTATGGGTGTCAAGAAGGTTTATAGCTTCATCAATTTTATTTTTATGTAATCCTAATTTAGGCTTAATGCTATGTAAAACACCATGAAGGAAAGACATCACCCCGTCGCAGAGCCTGTCAAGGTCGGAGTACACGATGCCTTCTCCGGTGTAATTACCATTCTGGTAGCCGAGAAATTTTTCGAGGCCTGTGCAGAGGTTATCTAAAAGGTTTTTAGGCTGTTCATTATTTTTGTCAATTTTCTCAGCATATCCACAAAGCTCTTTCAGCGTCTCAAGAGACCTCTTGGAAGCATTATGAGAGTTAAGAGATTTAGAAAGCTTGTCAATTTGAGAGGCATTTTTACTTTTATCAACATCATTTTGCTCGTTTTTAAGCTTATTAATTTGCTCATTAAGCCCCTGAATTTTTTTAGGAATTTCATCATTAAGCTTATTTAAGGGACCATCAGATGGATTTAACTTGCACTTAGTAAGGATGTCGGCAAGATTTACAGAGGGATTTTGATCATCTTTAAGGTGTTTTTTAAGTTTATCATTGACTTCATTAAGCTGGTTTTTTTCATCATTATACTCACAACACCCCTTATCTCCGCAAGATGCTTTCAAAAGCTTATCAAGCTGATTTACATTACTTTGCAAACCCTTTATAATAGCATTTTTGACTTCCTCACTCCCACCAATTAAACCCATAAGTTGTCCAGCAAGCTGACCAAGAGAGATGCGCCGCTCAGCAATATCCTTCTCAGCACTCTTTCTCTTAGACTCAGAGCCATGTACTTCGGAATAATGACCATTGTATTTTGATTGAAGGTGGATTAAGGGAGAGTTAAAAGGAGCAAAAGGAGGTGAAATGGCACATTTTTAGGGCGATTTGGGGGAATTTGGGGAAAGGCGATTTTAGGTCAAGGAGGCAGTGAGGCAGCGAGGGAGGTGGGTGGACAAGGTGAGGGAAGCGAAGGGGCGAAAGAGGGCGACGAAGGAGCAAGATGGGTGGAGGTAAGGCGATTTTAGGGGTGGAGGGGAAATGTGGAAAATGAGGGTTTGGGTGAAGGACGCCGACGGAGGAGGTGATGGAAGGGGGGTGAAGGAGGAGGGAGCGAAGCGACCAGTGAAGGAGGAGGTGAGTGGTTGAGTGGGTGAGTGGGTGAGTGAGTGTGTGGTTGAGTGAGTGGTTGAGTGGGTGGTTGAGTGGGTGAGTGGTTGAGTGGGTGGGTGAGTGATACACAGATCACACGTGAAGGCACGATTATGGTGAGAAGTACTTGACGTTGGCAAGTGCCTTGACGCGTGCGGCGGCGAGGAGGGACTGCGCGGCGATGCGGTGGCTTGAGGGCGATCTCAGGTGGGAGCGGATCCTCAGGACGTCGAGGCGGACGACGGCGATGTGCAGCAGGTAGAGCAAAGAGAGGGACCAGAGGGCTAATAATGTCTGTAAGAATGGTTCCCTTATTTTCCATAGGAAGTTGTCGCACTCATCAAATAAAGTTTCAAAATATTTTGAATGAAGAACACTGTTGAACTGCTGTTGGAAACTATAACAACTTCTTCTTGTGTGAACAGTATTCAATACGTTAGCATCATTAAAACAAAATCCGTATTTATACAAGGTTGGGATGACACCGCTGCATTTAACTACGGAATAGCATAGGCATGAAGATAACGATGTACCATGTTTTCCCTTTCTACATTCATCTCCTCGCAAACATGAATGACATCCCCAGTCTTGGCAGGAAATGTCCCGGAATGCGTTGTATAGACTTTCAAGATACTGCCACAATGTCCACGGAAGGTATATGACCCAGGAGAGATAAAAATTAGAATGTTGGTTGGCTAGGAAACGATATGTGTCGGCACATAATGAGGAAAGGTAGGGGGCGTTGTAGAGGCTGCTTTTACCACAGCTGTTGGAGGATATAAGACTCGTGAGGTGTGGATGCTGGCATTCGTTATGTTCTGCGGAGTGTGAACCATACGCCGCAGTAAACGCGTTTGTAAGCTCTGCATACTCGTCGTATAGCATGATTGACTGCTTTGTGATAGATGTTACAAATTCTGATTTTAATGTAATATTACTGCCCGCTGCACTAGACCGCACCCGATTGAGACCGTTTGAAAGTGACAACGCAAAACCGAAATGCTCCGGTAATGTGCTCGGCGGTTTGGGAGCAAGAGGGAATAAGGCGGTAAAATAGGCATAGTCGAAAAAACTATCGATTATTTTACACAGATCTCTACCCGTTTTGGTGGATCCTGAGAACGCTCTAAATCCTAATGGTGTAAGACATGGCAAACCACTGCTGCGGGAAGAGCACGTAAAACATGTAGATTTACAACCAACGGAGATTAATTGATGCGGCAGATGGCCTGGCAGACAGTCATTTAGATAAGACATTAGTGGAGAAGTTTGTTGACACGCAACTTTGTTGTTTGGTTGGCACTTTGGTTCGGTATTTGGTTGGTTATTTGGTTTGTCGGTTGGTTTATAATTGCAATGCGATTTGGTCGTCGGTATATCCTTGCCGTACTCACAGTCACGCCAACCACCGTGCTTAGCACCAAGTTTACATTGCGCTTGCAGGAATCTGAACACCGGAAATAATCTACGTAATATATCCAATAACATGTCGAGACAATCATTCCCAGTTTGAGGATAATAAAATTTCATGGAGTTGTTGTAGTGCTCGCAGGCGTAGTACGTTGCCGCGTCGCCGTGGCCGACGATGGTAGTGAGGACGGAGGAAGATTGCGACACTATATGTTCGAGAGCAGTCTCGAGATGTGCTACGCCAAACGCCTTCGGAATTGCTTCCATGTATGGCCTATTATCGGTAGATTTGTCCTTGGACTTGTTTAACATGGATATAACTTGTTGCTTAAGTGCATCGTACACCTGGTTGTGATATAAACCAGAAGACCATACAAGCATTTCGTACACGCTGCACGGATACCTTGGTTTGGGCAGATATATTAAGTGCCCAATTTTATTAAAGTTACTAAGGTACGTGAAGAGAGATTCAACGTCCGGGAGGAGAGTCCGAGCACCAGTAACAGACGTCACGGTACCTGTAAGCCATCTCCCAATGTGTTCACCCGTGCACTCCGGCTTATTTCGCAACATACCGTCCTGATTTTCGGCGGCCGTCGAAACGTTAAATCCACAGCTCCTCATCAGGTCACCAAGCTCCGTGGTTTCATTAATTTTTTCATCTTTGCAAGCAACTTCACACTTACGGCTAATTTCACTTAAATCACTGTTAAGCATGGGAAGCAGCGAAAACACACTTTAGCATATTTAGTTGAATAATCATCATACCATATCTCCCCCTCATACCTGTTCACGTACCCCTTCTCCAGCTGCTCGACGAACTTTACCAGGCTCTTGGGGAAAGCGTCGAGCACGGGATACGCGGGGTTGCCGAAATTTGTGGAGTGGAGTGCTTGGACGGACGTCTTGAGTTCCGCGAGCATTCCGGGGACCTTGTGGTCGAAGTGTTTTTTGTCGCGCAGGTGGGAGAGGAGGGTGTCCACAGCGGAGTGGATGGACTGGAGTTGGGAGGGGTAATCGGTGGTGGAACCGAAATGACGTTGGGCGTCAAAAAGGACGTAATTGAGAAGGCTTTCCAAATATTCTTTTACTTTGGGCGACAATAACTCTACAGAGTTTTTACCTTTTAGGTCGTTAAGTTGTCCACCTTTTTGATCCTTGCCGTACATGGCTTTTAGGAAGCCTTTTAGGCCGGTCTTCAGATCGTCGTCGATTATCTTTTCACTTCGGGAATTTGCGTGTCGACCAATGATTTCAAAGCAGTCAGGTCAGATTTGTGGGAGGCAGCAAATTGTTCTTTTACTCGTTTTGTGATCTCGTCGAATGTTCTTTCGGTGGCGTCGAGGAGATCCCTTGTGAGGTCTGAAATGGCATTGTTGACTTCAGAATTTGCTTCAGACAACGCGGATCTCAATGCTCTTGTTATTTTCGTAAGAGCGTCGCCAGCAATCAATACTACGTGACGAATGTTGAACAGTTTATTGTTTAGTGTAATCTTCAGAGAATCCAATTTCTCAGCAGCCTGATTTCTTTCCTTATTAATTACACCGTCATTATTACCATTGGAATCTTTTTCTTTCTTAAGATCGTCGATCTCACGCAGAGTATTACTCAGTTCATCCGCAGTTGATTTAATGGAACCACTCGATTTATTTAATACCTTCTCAAGATCCTTAATTTTCTCCTTCACGGTTACGAAGGCGTTGTCAATTGCTTTGCCGGCGGTTGCTTTGCTAGTACCACTTACAAATTCGTTGCCGATTTCCCCGATTTTTGTTATCGCAGCCTCCACTTCCTTGCCTAGGTGATAATCAGAGAATCGGTCAGTAGTTAACAATTCAAGTTGTTCTTTAACCCGCCTAGACGCGGCGTACAAGGCGGATAAGATGCATTTTACGGCGGTTCCAAGTTGACTTCTATCAGCCACCGGAAGACCACGCTGGCCCTGCAACTGCGTATATACGATCCCCGTCATTTCTTCAGCCTGTCCCGGCTCAACTTTTCCAGCGAAGTCGTTAAGAAATTTCTGAATGCTTTCCAAATTTTCTTTGACTTTTCCGGTAAGGTTGGGTGTTATAGCAGATGCATCAGTAATTTTTATAATGTATGTGCTAATTTTTTTCTTCACCTCCTCTACAGCAATTATATTCGAGTTCATAACACTCGTCATATGCGTGTTCACCGGATCCTTGGCATAAATCTCATCCAACCACCCCTGTATCGTCGTCCTAAGCATCACTTTATCGAATTTCCAAGCATACTGCTTAACCCCGTCTACAATTTTGTCAAGGTGGCCAGCATTTTTACCCGCTGACGCATTGGTCAAACCATTAACTATCCCCTAATATGCCCCTGAAGATCCTCCCACTTTTTTTCTATGCTTTCACCATTTTCACCACCCGACCCATTGTCCTTCTCAACGCCATTCTTAATTGCCTCAAACTCCCTATGAACATAACCTGCCAATTTCCCAACTCCTTCTTTGCTCGCATCTAATTGCGAATAAATATTATTAACAGCTGTTTTTATATCATGAAATTTACCGGTAATCGCAGCTTTATAGTCCGAATCGAAATTTGTTATCATATCGTGAGCATCGTCCAAGCGATCATTAATGGTTTTAAAGTGTTCTTCAATATTCTGTTTCATTCTTCTCGTCTGCTCGACCATAATATAAATGTGCCTCGCCACGGCGTCTTTCACGGTTCTACTTTCATCATTTATGACATTTCTCACGTATGATCTCTGTCTGTCCAAGGTCACATCCACATCTCTCACCTTGCTCTCGAAATCGTGAACAGTGGACGACTTTCTCATATGCTCTACCACACTTTTCACAGGCATGAATTCATGCATAATTCTATCTCTAAGTGATTTATCTAACACATTAATGTTATCAGTCTGAATTTTGTTCACCTCAGCTTCGAGGTTGTGGACAGTGTCCCGCCAAGCAGTCAACTGCTTTTCAAGCGGCTCGCTAATTTTACTATTTACTTCAGTGACATATTTATCGTTTAAGTTAATGCTAAGTTCGCTAAGTGAATCATTTACATTTTTAGTGCGCTCTGTAAGTGTAGTATCATAATCACGTAGGATGCGTTTAACAATGTCTATGCCCTCAGCAAATTTACTTGGACCACAATACATACAATTATGAATCTCATTTAGAATATATTCAGTTATAAAAACATATTTAGAGAATGCATCATCATCCTTCACTCCACTAAGAACACCATGAAGGAAAGACATCACCCCGTCACACAGCCTGTCGAGGTCCGAGTACACGATGCCGGAGCCAGTGTAATTACCATTACTGAAGCCGAGAAAATTTTCGAGGCCTGTGCAGAGGTTATTTAATAATGTTGTTGAAGAATTATTTTAGGCACATTTTCAGGGCGGTTTGGGGGAGTTTGGGGAAAGGTCAAATTAGGTCAAGGAGGCAGCGAGGGAGGTGGGTGGACAGGGTGAGGGAGGTGAAGGGGCGAAGGAGGGCGATGAAGGAGGAAGATGGGTTGGGAAAAGGCGGGTTTAGGGGTGGAGGAAGAAAGTGGAAAATGAGGATTTGGGCGAAGGACACCGACGGAGGAGGTGATGGAGGAGGGAGGCAGGGAGCGAAGCGACCAGTGAAGGAGGAGGTGAGTGGTTGAGTGGGTGAGTGGGTGAGTGAGTGTGTGGTTGAGTGAGTGGTTGAGTGGGTGGTTGAGTGGGTGAGTGGTTGAGTGGGTGGGTGAGTGATACACAGATCACACGTGAAGGCACGATTATGGTGAGAAGTACTTGACGTTGGCGAGTGCCTTGACGCGTGCGGCGGCGAGGAGGGACTGCGCGGCGATGCGGTGGCTTGAGGGCGATCTCAGGTGGGAGCGGATCCTCAGGACGTCGAGGCGGACGACGGCGATGTGCAGCAGGTAGAGCAAAGAGAGGGACCAGAGGGCTAATAATGTCTGTAAGAATGGTTCCCTTATTTTCCATAGGAAGTTGTCGCACTCATCAAATAAAGTTTCAAAATATTTTGAATGAAGAACACTGTTGAACTGCTGTTGGAAACTATAACAACTTCTTCGTGTGAACAGTATTCAATACGTTAGCATCATTAAAACAAAATCCGTATTTATACAAGGTTGGGATGACACCGCTGCATTTAACTACGGAATAGCATAGGCATGAAGATAACGATGTACCATGTTTTCCTCTTTCATTCATCTCCTCGCAAACATGAATGACATCCCCAGTCTTGGCAGGAAATGTCCCGGAATGCGTTGTATAGACTTTCAAGATACTGCCACAATGTCCACGGAAGGTATATGACCCAGGAGAGATAAAAATTAGAATGTTGGTTAGGAAAACGATATGTCGGCACATAATGAGGAAAGGTAGGGGGCGTTGTAGAGGCTGCTTTTACCACAGCTGTTGGAGGATATAAGACTCGTGAGGTGGATGCTGGCATTCGTTATGTTCTGCGGAGTGTGAACCATACGCCGCAGTAAACGCGTTTGTAAGCTCTGCATACTCGTCGTATAGCATGATTGACTGCTTTGTGATAGATGTTACAAATTCTGATTTTAATGTAATATTACTGCCCGCTGCACTAGACCGCACCCGATTGAGACCGTTTGAAAGTGACAACGCAAAACCGAAATGCTCCGGTAATGTGCTCGGCGGTTTGGGAGCAAGAGGGAATAAGGCGGTAAAATAGGCATAGTCGAAAAACTATCGATTATTTTACACAGATCTCTACCCGTTTTGGTGGATCCTGAGAACGCTCTAAATCCTAATGGTGTAAGACATGGCAAACCACTGCTGCGGGAAGAGCACGTAAAACATGTAGATTTACAACCAACGGAGATTAATTGATGCGGCAGATGGCCTGGCAGACAGTCATTTAGATAAGACATTAGTGGAGAAGTTTGTTGACACGCAACTTTGTTGTTTGGTTGGCACTTTGGTTCGGTATTTGGTTGGTTATTTGGTTTGTCGGTTGGTTTATAATTGCAATGCGATTTGGTCGTCGGTATATCCTTGCCGTACTCACAGTCACGCCAACCACCGTGCTTAGCACCAAGTTTACATTGCGCTTGCAGGAATCTGAACACCGGAAATAATCTACGTAATATATCCAATAACATGTCGAGACAATCATTCCCAGTTTGAGGATAATAAAATTTCATGGAGTTGTTGTAGTGCTCGCAGGCGTAGTACGTTGCCGCGTCGCCGTGGCCGACGATGGTAGTGAGGACGGAGGAAGATTGCGACACTATATGTTCGAGAGCAGTCTCGAGATGTGCTACGCCAAACGCCTTCGGAATTGCTTCCATGTATGGCCTATTATCGGTAGATTTGTCCTTGGACTTGTTTAACATGGATATAACTTGTTGCTTAAGTGCATCGTACACCTGGTTGTGATATAAACCAGAAGACCATACAAGCATTTCGTACACGCTGCACGGATACCTTGGTTTGGGCAGATATATTAAGTGCCCAATTTTATTAAAGTTACTAAGGTACGTGAAGAGAGATTCAACGTCCGGGAGGAGAGTCCGAGCACCAGTAACAGACGTCACGGTACCTGTAAGCCATCTCCCAATGTGTTCACCCGTGCACTCCGGCTTATTTCGCAACATACCGTCCTGATTTTCGGCGGCCGTCGAAACGTTAAATCCACAGCTCCTCATCAGGTCACCAAGCTCCGTGGTTTCATTAATTTTTTCATCTTTGCAAGCAACTTCACACTTACGGCTAATTTCACTTAAATCACTGTTAAGCATGGGAAGCAGCGAAAAACACACTTTAGCATATTTAGTTGAATAATCATCATACCATATCTCCCCCTCATACCTGTTCACGTACCCCTTCTCCAGCTGCTCGACGAACTTTACCAGGCTCTTGGGGAAAGCGTCGAGCACGGGATACGCGGGGTTGCCGAAATTTGTGGAGTGGAGTGCTTGGACGGACGTCTTGAGTTCCGCGAGCATTCCGGGGACCTTGTGGTCGAAGTGTTTTTTGTCGCGCAGGTGGGAGAGGAGGGTGTCCACAGCGGAGTGGATGGACTGGAGTTGGGAGGGGTAATCGGTGGTGGAACCGAAATGACGTTGGGCGTCAAAAAGGACGTAATTGAGAAGGCTTTCCAAATATTCTTTTACTTTGGGCGACAATAACTCTACAGAGTTTTTACCTTTTAGGTCGTTAAGTTGTCCACCTTTTTGATCCTTGCCGTACATGGCTTTTAGGAAGCCTTTTAGGCCGGTCTTCAGATCGTCGTCGATTATCTTTTTCACTTCGGGAATTTGCGTGTCGACCAATGATTTCAAAGCAGTCAGGTCAGATTTGTGGGAGGCAGCAAATTGTTCTTTTACTCGTTTTGTGATCTCGTCGAATGTTCTTTCGGTGGCGTCGAGGAGATCCCTTGTGAGGTCTGAAATGGCATTGTTGACTTCAGAATTTGCTTCAGACAACGCGGATCTCAATGCTCTTGTTATTTTCGTAAGAGCGTCGCCAGCAATCAATACTACGTGACGAATGTTGAACAGTTTATTGTTTAGTGTAATCTTCAGAGAATCCAATTTCTCAGCAGCCTGATTTCTTTCCTTATTAATTACACCGTCATTATTACCATTGGAATCTTTTTCTTTCTTAAGATCGTCGATCTCACGCAGAGTATTACTCAGTTCATCCGCAGTTGATTTAATGGAACCACTCGATTTATTTAATACCTTCTCAAGATCCTTAATTTTCTCCTTCACGGTTACGAAGGCGTTGTCAATTGCTTTGCCGGCGGTTGCTTTGCTAGTACCACTTACAAATTCGTTGCCGATTTCCCCGATTTTTGTTATCGCAGCCTCCACTTCCTTGCCTAGGTGATAATCAGAGAATCGGTCAGTAGTTAACAATTCAAGTTGTTCTTTAACCCGCCTAGACGCGGCGTACAAGGCGGATAAGATGCATTTTACGGCGGTTCCAAGTTGACTTCTATCAGCCACCGGAAGACCACGCTGGCCCTGCAACTGCGTATATACGATCCCCGTCATTTCTTCAGCCTGTCCCGGCTCAACTTTTCCAGCGAAGTCGTTAAGAAATTTCTGAATGCTTTCCAAATTTTCTTTGACTTTTCCGGTAAGGTTGGGTGTTATAGCAGATGCATCAGTAATTTTTATAATGTATGTGCTAATTTTTTTCTTCACCTCCTCTACAGCAATTATATTCGAGTTCATAACACTCGTCATATGCGTGTTCACCGGATCCTTGGCATAAATCTCATCCAACCACCCCTGTATCGTCGTCCTAAGCATCACTTTATCGAATTTCCAAGCATACTGCTTAACCCCGTCTACAATTTTGTCAAGGTGGCCAGCATTTTTACCCGCTGACGCATTGGTCAAACCATTAACTATCCCCCTAATATGCCCCTGAAGATCCTCCCACTTTTTTTCTATGCTTTCACCATTTTCACCACCCGACCCATTGTCCTTCTCAACGCCATTCTTAATTGCCTCAAACTCCCTATGAACATAACCTGCCAATTTCCCAACTCCTTCTTTGCTCGCATCTAATTGCGAATAAATATTATTAACAGCTGTTTTTATATCATGAAATTTACCGGTAATCGCAGCTTTATAGTCCGAATCGAAATTTGTTATCATATCGTGAGCATCGTCCAAGCGATCATTAATGGTTTTAAAGTGTTCTTCAATATTCTGTTTCATTCTTCTCGTCTGCTCGACCATAATATAAATGTGCCTCGCCACGGCGTCTTTCACGGTTCTACTTTCATCATTTATGACATTTCTCACGTATGATCTCTGTCTGTCCAAGGTCACATCCACATCTCTCACCTTGCTCTCGAAATCGTGAACAGTGGACGACTTTCTCATATGCTCTACCACACTTTTCACAGGCATGAATTCATGCATAATTCTATCTCTAAGTGATTTATCTAACACATTAATGTTATCAGTCTGAATTTTGTTCACCTCAGCTTCGAGGTTGTGGACAGTGTCCCGCCAAGCAGTCAACTGCTTTTCAAGCGGCTCGCTAATTTTACTATTTACTTCAGTGACATATTTATCGTTTAAGTTAATGCTAAGTCTGCTAAGTGAATCATTTACATTTTAGTGCGCTCTGTAAGTGTAGTATCATAATCACGTAGGATG